ACTGCCGCCGTCTGTCCTGAAGGGTGTCCAACATTTCCTCATTGTACACATCCCTATCACCCAGATATACGTTGTCCCTATTGTGCCCAAGGACGCTATCAGAACTGTATGATGCCGCACTGTGATGAACGTCCTGCTGTGTTTTTGACATGTGGACAACATGTCCTCTGTCAGGACTGTTTTGACGGGATGGTTCGTGCTAGCCTTCCTGCAGAATGCTGTGCTGGCGCAGCTCTCCTTGGGCATCCTTGTGAACATCCACATCATCCTCACCGTAGCTATCCTATCTGCCGAGGTGGGGACAGGTAAAGAAAAAAAGAAGAAAAGAAAAAGAGAAAAAAAGAAAAAAAGAAAAAAAGAAAAAAAGAGAAAAAAAGAAAAAAAGAAAAAAGATACGTTGATCTGTGGGATGTGTTATTTGCTTTGTGATAATTGGATTATCTTTCTTTCCCTATCTTTCTTTCCCTGTCAGGTTTGGCTTCCTCCTCCTTTTCTTTACCTCTTTGCCTTGTGGCTGCGTGCAAGTGGGTCCTTGTGACACAAAAAAAAAAGAAGAATAAGAAGAAGCGCGGCGTGGAGCCAAGAAAGTATGAACCTTAAAAAAAAAAGAAGTATGAACGTTGACGGAAAGTCAACAAAAGCAGCTGCGAAAGTAGCCAGGGGCGTGGTCCCACTAGCAAAGAGGATCGGATCGAATGCCTGAATTTGGACAAGTACATGGAAATGTGCAGGAAATCGAGATTGAACTGTTGTTCTGCATTTGAAAAAAAAAAAAAAAAAAAAAAAAAAGCTGTTGGCTGTCTTCTTCTGTTCCTGTTTTTATGTAGATATATAGGTTGAGCGGCGAAACTCAAACCGTACACAAACGTCACCCGTAGTGGACAGCAATTGTAGTTTACCAGTGCGTACAATTAGCATGTTGTTGACTACGTTCATTATAATTTGTAGTATATAATTCTGCATTTGACACAACTACGTCTAGCATGTAACAGTTTACTACGTTCATTATAATTTGTGCCCACTAGAAAAACTACAGTTGTGTCCACTAGAAAAACTATAGTTGTGTCCACTAGAAACTATAGTTGTGTCCACTAGAAACTATAGTTGTGTCCACTACAATTAGCATGTTCCTGAAAGCTACTTCCAAACTCGAACCGTACACAAACGTCCACTATAGTAGTGGACACACAGTGTACAAAAAAATCACTATAACATGCTAATTGTAATTGTAGTTGTCTTTTGACTTCCTTGCTTTTTCCCAAAAAAAAAAAAAAAAAAAAGTAGTCTTTTGTTTTTCTTCATGACTTTTGAAGTAGCTTTGAGTCGGACTTAGACTACTTAGGTAGTCGCGAATGGCTTCGTGTTTTTTTTTGTTTTTTTTTTTGACACTTTAGGTAGTCGCGAATGGCTTCGTGTTGTTTTTTTTGTTTTTTTTTTTACACTAAGTCTTGTTGTGGGTTTATTGAGTTGTGCAGGTGTACTTGGTTATGACTTTGCATTGGGGTATGGGACGCTGGACTGGAGCGGGTTCTCTCGGAAGAGGCCAAGTTGGGGGGTTAGGGCGGAGGGGGGCAGAAAACCCTCCGTCGTATCTCGGCTTTTACAAGAGGTCAAGTTGGGGGGTTAGGGCGGAGGGTTTTCTCCCCCCTCCGCCCTAACCTCCCAACTTGAAGTGGCTTGCTGCTACTACGCGGAGCAAGGACTCCCAACCAATGACAACAACAGGAGTCAGCACCCCTACCGTCGTATCTGGGCTGAAAGTTGTGCCAAATACAGCTATAATGACCGGGCGTTCTATTCGGGCCAAGACGGTAGCAGCAGCTGGGGTTGTTGTTTAAAGAAAATCGAAAAGAAAGGAAGTAGAAAGTAGAAAGTAGAAGGTAGGAGGAGCCAGGAGGAGCAAGATGAGGTACTAGTAGATGAAGATAGAAGAAACGGCCGAGCGTCATGAAGCACAACGAAAAACGGCGCCAAGGCCAGAGCATGAAGCACTGGCGGGCTACAGTAGTACTCCTGGGGCCATTGGGCCAAGTCCCCGAATCCTCAATTCCGGACCGTAGATTCCACAGAGAGAGAGAGAGAGAGAGAGAGAGAGAGAGAGAGAGAGAGAGAGAGAGAGAGAGAGAGAGAGAGAGAGAGAGAGTGTGTGTG